AAAGGCTAAATAAATTAAACAAATCCTTCTTGCGAGAAGAAAGAGAAAGGAGACTGAATTAATGGAACAATTCCTCGTCGAGAGAAAGACAGGAAAATCGAGAAACAGACCGATAGTTTGAAAACGCAAATAAAGAGGTTATGGGAGTAGTAGTACGCGGAAACGGTCCGTGTGTTCCGCGTGTGGAAAGATCGGAGTATGTGTCAAGTGCGTGAATCACTTGGTGTTCGAGGAGGCGAGGCGTTATCGAGGATCGACCGCTGGCGATTGTTCCGTGGACAGGTTGTTGTTGAAGATCGCCTACGCTTCGCAGATACCTGCACACAAATATCCCTTTTCTTCGTTGTAATCTTTCACAGCCGGTTAAAATGTCAAGTTACGCCTGTGTACTCGTGTACTTTGAATATTAATGAGCTACAGGGTGGCCCGAAAATGGGGTTGCGCGACTAAGAGGAGAGAGAGAGAGAGAGAGAGTACGCTATTTTGTTTACGTTAGAGTGACGAGTGTACACGAGCTACCGCAGTTGACTTCTGTGAATGAATAGATTTCCTTTTTCGTGCGGGCTGTGGGTGTAGAAGTGGCTCGGGAGAAGTGATCTTGAAGGAGAAAGTAGTTACGTACTGTTGGATATTCCGGATCGGAGGCGTAGAAATAGAGATGTCGAAGAGTTGCAGATGAAACGTTCCGAATTTTTCGGTCCTTAGACTTTGGACGAGGAACGTCAAGGTCTTGGAGTACGAAGAGAATTTGGAATTTATCGTTCTCGAGTCTTTGGAAGGGAAACGTTGAAATTTCGGAACTTAGAACTGACCAATTGGAAAATTTAGAACTCGCAAATCCTGAAAGTCTGGAAGTTGAATCGTTCAAGATTTTGGAGTGTTGAAAATCTGGTGTTTTGGAAAGGAAGTGTTGAAGTTTCAGAAATTTAGAACTTGTAGGTTCTAGAAATTTGAAAGCTGAAGCATCTGAATTTTTGTAATTTTCCCATACGCTGCACGATGTAAAATTATTTTTGGGGAAAAAAAAATGAATTCACGACGACTGTCAAATTAAAAGGTTTAAGCTTTAGAAGCTTTAATTGTGTAATTATTTTTTTTAGGAAATTATATTAGTTTAAATTATCGACAGTTTTCCACCGTTATGCTCTTCACTGTATATATTAATATTTAATTAACAGACATTGATAAATCACAATCATTTAAGATATTCAGAAAATTTAAAGAATTCTTAGAAACTTCGCAAGATAATTGTAAACTTTCTAATTAATTTCTCTAATAATTATAAAACATTCAAAACCCTCCAGAGCTTACTCATTGTTGCAACAAATATTGAAACCAAAAAGATACACTATACAAACCAAAAAGAAAAACTTTATTCGGTGTCCAAATTTGGTCACGAAGAATGAATATTTCTTCAGTATGAAATTATTCCCGCTTTCAGCGCCGATTAAGAAACCGAAAGAAAAGTCGCGTTAATTAAACGAAAGGCTGGCGAAACGTTCACTGGCGGGTGAAAACTGCGACGTAAAGAAGTCAAAGGCGATTATCTCGATCGTACATTAGGCTGGTTGCCCACGCAATGCTATTCGGCCATCGTCGAATCCTAAATCCCGTCAAAGTCCACTCGAGCTCGCTCGAACAAACAGCGAGGGAGCTGTTGACGTTCCCCTGCTCGACATTCATGCGTGATCGTACGTCGTTACGCAATCGCGATTGCGTATTCGCATTATTTCTGTCTTTTTTTCTTTCTTTGCCACTCTTTTTTTATGCTAGATTGTTCATCTAGTAACTTTTTAGTGATTTTCGTGCCAGGTTACACGTCCAGTAACTTTTTATTGATTCTGGATATTTAGGTTCATCTAGTAACTTTTTTAGTGATTTTTTTGTGCCAGGTTGTACGTCCAGTAACTTTTTATTGATTCTGGATATTTAGGACTTGCAAGTCCTGAAAAGTATATATATAATAATTATCCTGAAATCACTAAAATGTTACTAGACGTATAATCTAGTATGAAAAAAAAAATATATAATTTTTAGATAGAAAATTCTATATATAATTTTTATATCTTATATATAATATATATAATTATTTTTTATTTTCCATTTCTATCTTTGATATAATATACATCTTACAATTAATATATATCTTATATGCCTTAATATAATTCTTATATCGAAGATGGAAATCTATAACGATTGAATCGTCAGACCACCTGCAGGGTTCGCAAAGTATTGAAATGAAATTATACGTTTAAACAACCTCAGCTTCTCGAATCTTCAAAGTAATTACTATTAATCATTTAAGTCATAATATCGAGTTACAGTCATTTAGTAGGAATTATGATTTCTGTTTGAAAGAAGAAGTAGTTGTAGTCCCGTGGAGTACGAATTTCAATCGTAATTCTTCAGACCAAAGATCAATAAATCATATACAATTTATGCGTTTAATACGCATGGAAATGAAGATAAAAAGTCGACGACAAAAGTAAAGAAAATTATTTTTGTTTCGCAGATTTCATCGAAATTGCTAACCCCGCATCGAGTAATTTCATAAAAATCCTAAATTTCGGAGGACAAACCTACTCCTGAAATATCCTCGCCCCGAATCCCGAAAGACGAACCTAACCTAACCTGTTCCCTGTTCGCCTGTTGCAGAGCAACCCATGAAACCCGAGGCGGAAGAGAGGTCCTGCGTCGAGACGGAGAGCATCGAGACGGGTCTGCGAAAGACCCGCATAGGCCCAGCCAGTCCTCTGCGTGCCTCGCCCTCGAGGAGCGTGGCCTCTTCCTCCGGGGACCGGACCCCTCGCGCCAATTCCATCGTCCGCGAGAACAGCAACGTCTCGAGAGCCTCCTCGGGCAGCAAGACCCCGCGTGACAGCAACTCGAGCCCCGAGGGAAGCCCCCTGAAGCGGGGAACCATACGGAACAGTCTGCGGAAACCACCGACCGGCAGCCTGAGCAAGGCTTCCGTCGTTCCAAAACCGTGTCAGAGTCCAGTGAGCGGTAGCAACACGTGGAACGGCAGGCAGGTGCGACAGAGGCCCAGTATCCAGTCGGACACGTTCCTGAACCCAGGGCAGGGATCATCAGCCACGCCACTGTGCCACCAGCCCACCACCAGTCCCTCTGGCAGTTTCGCCAGGAAGAGCCCAGCTAGGCAGAGTCTGCCAAGGCAGAGCTCGAACGGCGGCGTGCAGTACGACAGAAACGGGAGGAGGGTGAAGACCACCGCTGCCACTACCACCGGCTCCCTTCAATCCTCGCCGACCAAGGTGAACCCTCTGTTGGAGCAGATACTGCAGAAGGTCGGCCATTTGCAAGACGAGCGCGAGGTGGTGCAGAAGCTGCAGGATCTTCTGAGGGACTATCAGGCGCACAGCACCGGCGACGGTGTGGCGAACATGGAGTTCACGAGGGCGTGGATCGACGGTAACGGGACCGTGGCGTTGCCGCAGGACAATCAGATGACGGCCAGTCCTAGGAAGGATCCGAAGCCTGTCTCGGAGAGGGGAGGTTTCTCGAGGATACCGGCGCCCGTCTACAAAAGGCCGATGTCCGTCGCGTCCGACAGCGTGTGAAGCATCGACGTGAGCCTCGACTTCGACGACCACGACGATGAGATGCTGATTCGGAGCGTGTCCTCGAGGTCATCAGGCTCGCCGTTCGCCCGCGGGCTTTGCACTGTGCGCATGAACTGGGCTCTCGCTGCTTCCTCGCACCTTTCCTGACGGATTCGCCCTCGATCTTACGCGGATTCGCGCATAGACACGCGTAGAGGTATTGCCAGGTGAGAGAGAGTGATTGGAAGGAAGATGGTTCGCATTTCGTTCCCTGAATTACTAGGCGATACTAACCAATAAGTGAGCAATGATCATTCGTTGGACATTCGTTTCAAACGGAGACACTGATATCTTCGGTGCATTGGTAAGTGCATCAATAACTGCAGTTCGATCGGCGATCCTGTTTTCTGAATACTTGGCCTACATTATCGATCGATAGTTCCTGTTCTCAACGCTAGAACTATCAAAGCGTAAAATTTCCACTCAAAGACAAAGTAAAGTAAAAGAAGCAGAAAATCTTTGCAACAATATGGTACACGAGCTTTTATTTATGTATTCCACGAAGAATCATTCAAGTCTCTAAAAACACACCAGTTGTTTGATATCTAAACAAAAAATTAATGGTCAGTTAATTATTTTGACCATTTTGGTAGTTTTAGCGTTAAATATTTGGCCTACACGTTCGTCGACAATCTTTGTTCTTTACCTTTGCAGAGAAAAGTATCTTCACCAATGATCCAACGAGAGATTAAGCACAGAATTGCGAATTGGCAGAGTGTCTAATGATCATTGCCAAAGACAGATCTATTAGAACGTTCTCATAATTAATGAAAGTCTTCTCAGTCTCAGAATTTCATTGTATCAGCGGTTAGTTACTTCTCGTCAGGGGAACGCGTTGCTATGGTGCTTTCCTTTATGTAAATAGCGACGCTGTTGTCAAAAACTCTACGAAAGAATCGTTCCTATCTGTTTCGTTTAAAGAGCAGATCAATCACTCCTCGCTCGCGAATTTCATCAAAACTCTCCCCGGATTTACGCTGAAGTGCAAAGGTGGGGAGTTGTTCACAGTTCACAAAAATCTCAACCATCCACTTGAACAGAGTCGCAAAGACTCTAGTTTTCCTGGCGTCGCGCGCGATGACAGATCGAAGGCGTCCGATCAGAGTCTGTGGAGGAAGCTTAACGGGCCTTAACGATACGGGGTCGATCAGTTTAGCTGGTAGGAGTCACGTGTATATCGGGGTGGTGCTTGGATGGTGCTGAACGAGATGACGTTCGTGATCCAGATAAGATTATAATAAGATGATCAAAAGTAAAAGCGAAAAAAAATTGACAAAACGCATTAACAAAAAGAAGAAGAAAAAAAAACCAAAAAAAAAAAGAAAGAGAAGAAGAAGAACGAAATGTAACTGAAGAAAACGACGAGGATGAAGAAACGAAGAAGGTAGGTTTTAGATAGGTAAGCGACGAGAAAAAGTGTCAGAGAGAGAGAGAGAGAGAGAGAGAGAAAGTCTCGTCGACGAACAACAACGATTTCGATTGATGAACAGACGGAATTCAAGCGGGCAATTAGCTGGTGTGCCGGCTCTTGCGTTAATGGCTTCCCGATCGATTTGCTTCCAGTCAGTTAATTGCACCCCGGCTGACAGCTCGTCGATTGATCCGAGACAAGAGATTACACCTTGCACACATCGTGGACACACGCGACGTGAACTCTTTCTCTTGTCGTGGTACGTTCTTTTTTTTTT